CTCCTTGGATGTTAAGTTCTATTTGACGTACGTTCTCAAACAGAGCTTCCCAATAGATATACAAAATAAATTATGCTATTAAACTAATTTTATAATTAAAAAAAACCACCTACAAATAACTATAAAAAATTAACTTGAAAAAATTGAAAAATGAGTTTCCAAAATAATACCATACCTTTTTATTGAGGTGACGAAGAAAACTCGAAACGTCGGGGTTTAAATATAAATAATAATTGTATTTTACGGTTAATAAAAATTATATTATTCATTTTTTTTAATAGAAGTATGGCTATTGTAAATATGGTGTATAACTTAATTAATTACTTTATATAAGTACTACTAAACGACCCAATATATACTCGTGTAAGATACAATGAAAAAGTTCTTACAATTCGAACAACGGAATTAATTAATTACGTATATTAATCGTTATCTCATAACACATAAACATTATATCGGTTAAAGTGTATTTATAGACGTTGAATAATTTTTTTAAATAAAAATACTGTAAAATAGTATTGAATCTTACCTTGAGGTATAATATAATTCAAATATTCTTCATTGATCATCTTACAATACTGGATTAGCTTGAAGATATAGCAAATATCAATAGGTGATTAAAAATTATGTCAATTATTTTTTATCAGTTTCTACCGACACTTTTCTTTCTTTAAAATCACTTCAAATGATCCAAATGACGCTATTATTTGTACAACAACCTTTTTTATAACAATTATTCTATCAGAAAACCTAATATGTTTAATATCTTCCATATTTTCATCACTGATGGTCACGTCGAAACGCCCACAATTCGTATTATATTTAATGGGTCCACGACTTCTCTGAAACTAGACAAACATTGTTTAAGGTATTGTAAGGACGGAATTTTGTACAAATTCCGCCCTACATAAAACTTATTATTTTTTATTAAAAATCGTCTGGATAAAACTCGATTTATATATTTAAACAAATAAACAAAGCCAACCGCGAACATACGCACAAACGACACGCAAAACAAAGCCAACCGCGAACATACGCACAAACGACACGCAAAACGAAGCCAACCGCGAACACACGCACACACGACAAGCAAAACAAAGCCAACCGCGAATTACACTTGTGCGGTTGTGCGTGCATTTAAGCAAAGCAAAGTGTCGTATATAAATAGCGGAGATTTTATATGAAAGATCACTTAGCACCGGCACACCGAAGTGAGTAGATCACTACTCCAGCGCTAAGTCCCTTTTTAGAAGCCCATGGTGTTTCGACGCTAAGGCTTAATAAATCAGTAGAAGGTATTGGATAGATTTTATAAACGCCTTTGATGTTTTGACGTCTTTGGCTAGAAACTAATTACGTAGATTTGGAAAAAACCCTTTGATGTTCTGACGTCTTTGGGTAAAAATTATTGAATAGATTTTATAAACGCCTTTGATGTTTTGACGTCTTTGGCTAGAAACTAATTACGTAGATTTGGAAAAACCCTTTGATGTTCTGACGTCTTTGGATAAAACTTACTGAGTAGAATCAAGACTAGAATAAGTTATTTAAGAAAACTTTAAATAAATTTTAAATAATAAAAGCAAACGGTCTTTTACTTTCCACTCATTGGTTTACCAGCTTCGAACTAGTCAATAAAACAAATTTATTGCAACGACCCGGACCGCGACTGAGTAATACCTCAGCAGAATTAAAACGACGAATCCGTGTCGTTACAATTGGCGCCCGAGCAGGGACTTGTGTTCGATAGTATTCCAAGTGGGAAGAAAAGAATTACCAGGGACCTGATTGGTCAAATCACAGTGGTCAAGGCTCAAATGGAAATTTAAGATCCAGAGGATAAGATATTAACAAATATCACAAGAAGAAATAATGTCGATGGGATCGAGAGGAATACCAGGAACATGTGGAAGTTCAATAAATCCTCCAGTGCGCTCCTACCTTCAGATGGTTGAAGAGGTACAGAAGTGGTCCTGTAAATATGACGGTGGTAAGGATCCACTAGATTTCATCGATCACATAGAGGAACTGGCGGCTATGTACAGTATCGATGTAAATCTAATTCCCAAGATGATGCCAATACTCTTTGAAGACAAAGCATTAAGATGGTACCGTAACAACCATAAACCTTGGCTCCTCTGGTCAAGCTTCAAGGAAGATTTCTTCAAATTCTTCATATCATGTAGATATTTCGAAAACTTAGAAAATGAGGTACGAACACGACTACAAAAGACAAAAGAAAGTTTCAAGGATTACTCACTTGACATTATAAATCTAATGCGTCACACTGGCATGGATCCAGGTTCGCAATTGGAGCGGGTGTATCGAAACATGAAGGCAGACTACCGGATGTACATTAAACGTTCAGAGTTTACAAGCCTAAATGAATTAACAACACTTGCCGATGACTTCGAAGAACTAAGTACAGAACAGGATAAAGTGAGCCGTAATCGTGTCCGTGAAGTGAACGTAGGGCGCATGATAGTCGAGTCCCCTCAAGCGATGGTGGTACAAAATACAATGAGAAGCATACCCAATATGCCAGCACGGGATAAAATTATCCATAGTCTAAGCTTCGAGTCGTCCATTCCTGATCAGAAACGAAGGAATCAGCCTCAGAACCAATCAACCGCTAAGCAAGCAACAGCATTTATAACTGGAAATGTGACTTCAGCATCACTACCAAAGTCAAGCATAACGACACGACGCGTACAACCTCGAGATTATTTAAAAGCCCAGCAAGAAAATCTACAAGAGCAGACACCTTGTAGGTGCTTAGTACCACCGCGTCAGCGAAGTTCAAAACTCATCACAGAGTCGAAAAGTCAGAGTCCAGATGTACAGCGTCAGGAAAATTTAAAACTCATCACAGAGTCGAAAAGTCAGAGTCCAGATGTACCACGTCTACGAAATTTAAAACTCATCACAGAGTCGAAAAGTCAGAGTCCAGATGTACCGCGTCAGCGAAGTTCAAAACTCATCACAGAGTCGAAAAGTCAGAGTCCAGATGTACCACGTCTACGAAATTTAAAACTCATCACAGAGTCGAAAGGTCAGAGTCCAGATGTACCGCGTCAGCGAAGTTTAAAACTCATCACAGAGTCGAAAAGTCAGAGTCCAGATGTACCGCGTCAGCGAAATTCAAAACTCAACACAGAGTCGAAAAGTCAGAGTCCAGAAGTACCGCGTCAGCGAAGTTTAAAACTCAACACAGAGTCGAAAAGTCAGAGTCCAAAAGTACCGCGTCAGCGAAGTTTAAAACTCAACACAGAGTCGAAAAGTCAGAGTCCAAAAGTACCGCGTCAGCGAAGTTTAAAACTCATCCCAGAGTCGAAAAGTCAGAGTCCAGATGTACCACGTCTGCGAAATTTAAAACTCAACACAGAGTCGAAAACTCAAAGTCCAGATGTACCACGTGAGCAGGATTACACCAGTACACATCAAGATGAATTCCTCAAAGTTTTTAGGAATCCTAGAAAGCGGACACGAAACCATTCAACGAAGTAGTCGAGTTCAAATCCCCCGAAGAAGGAGGGAAATGTAAGGACGGAATTTTGTACAAATTCCGCCCTACATAAAACTTATTATTTTTTATTAAAAATCGTCTGGATAAAACTCGATTTATATATTTAAACAAATAAACAAAGCCAACCGCGAACATACGCACAAACGACACGCAAAACAAAGCCAACCGCGAACATACGCACAAACGATACGCAAAACGAAGCCAACCGCGAACACACGCACACACGACAAGCAAAACAAAGCCAACCGCGAATTACACTTGTGCGGTTGTGCGTGCATTTAAGCAAAGCAAAGTGTCGTATATAAATAGCGGAGATTTTATATGAAAGATCACTTAGCACCGGCACACCGAAGTGAGTAGATCACTACTCCAGCGCTAAGTCCCTTTTTAGAAGCCCATGGTGTTTCGACGCTAAGGCTTAATAAATCAGTAGAAGGTATTGGATAGATTTTATAAACGCCTTTGATGTTTTGACGTCTTTGGCTAGAAACTAATTACGTAGATTTGGAAAAAACTCTTTGATGTTCTGACGTCTTTGGGTAAAAATTATTGAATAGATTTTATAAACGCCTTTGATGTTTTGACGTCTTTGGCTAGAAACTAATTACGTAGATTTGGAAAAACCCTTTGATGTTCTGACGTCTTTGGATAAAACTTACTGAGTAGAATCAAGACTAGAATAAGTTATTTAAGAAAACTTTAAATAAATTTTAAATAATAAAAGCAAACGGTCTTTTACTTTCCACTCATTGGTTTACCAGCTTCGAACTAGTCAATAAAACAAATTTATTGCAACGACCCGGACCGCGACTGAGTAATACCTCAGCAGAATTAAAACGACGAATCCGTGTCGTTACAGTATTAAATGCTTTTCTGCACTAAGTTCTACTTAAATTTCATTAAACGTTCTGATTCGACATTTCGCCATACAAAAAATCATCGATAACACACCAATATAGCTACGTCTTCCTCTATCGATCGGGAAGCACAAACTAAGCATCACATTCATCTGATGGTTAATACATACACTGCTGATAGTGGAATCAATATACAACAACAGACCCGACTCGATAAACAGGATACAGTGTATACGATTTCGATATTCTTATTACATCTTAATCACATTTCGTATAATCTTTACAATCATTTGTAATATAGATGATTAAGGCACATAATCTCGTGTAGAGTAGAGCAATCTCGCCACAAATGTAATACTTAAGAAATAATATATTTCCTAAATTTCCGAGGAACCGTAAAGTTTACATTAAATGACATTGCCAAATAATTTAAAAAAATTGATCCATAAATTGTTATAAAACTCCTTCGTAACAATTTGTGGTTTCTCAAAAGCCAAAACCAAATAAAATTGAGAACTAACATATATAATCTAGTAGTCCACTGAGTAAAGTTTTTTTATTTATTAAAAAAAAAATATTCAGATACAATCAATTGTTTTTGTTGTTTCAAGAAAATTTAAAACAAATTTTTTTTTTCAGTTAAACATTTCCAATGAAAAATTTCAGTTAATAAAATTCTTAGTGAAAACGTTTTAGAGATAAAAAGTAGAAAATCATGGATAAAGAAGACGTTTATGACTTTTTGGATATTGCATCTATTTATGATAAAACTGGACGCATACTTGAGGCTGAGTTTCTTTATCAAAAAATTGTTCCACATTTAGTTGATGAATACATTTATAAAAAGTGCAAGAAGGATAAAACTGCATGCTATGGACCAATTAGGGACTCTATAGAACGAATTGGACTTATCCGTCATCACATCAACAATTTACTTTTGAATAGACATCTCATAGTAGAATTCGAAATCCAAAATGATGACATTATACAAGGTTATGGTCAACTTTTTGGTAAGTATCTACAAACAAATCTTAAAGAGATGATCTTAGAAGAACCGCAACTCAGTAAAGAGCATGAAATAAAAAATCTATTCAGATTTTTCAAAGCTGTTACTCTCAAATGCAGACAACTGTCATTTGTGAAAATCTGCACCAAACCTGCAGAGCAGGATGCGGACAAGCAGCATGAACTCTTACAGAAGTTGGTGTATGCCTTCAATGACAAACGTAAAGTTGGTATGAAAATTGATTTTAAACCAGATTTAGAGAAAACGAAAATGATTCTTAGCAATGGTTATATGATAACCTTAAGTACTGGCTTACATATCTTTAAGAAAGAGAGACTGAGGACATTAAGTTACGTCACACCCAGCTTATTCGCTATCAAACCAAAGTATAATCAACTAGGTCAACTTAAATTTCCTAATCTGCACAACTTTTATCGTGCACATGGTGGTCGGGCAACCGATTACAAGTGCTATCCTTGCGCAATTGAGGTTTGGAAAATTAAAAGTTTCGGTGAAGTCATTTAAAAGTAAGCTATAGTGTGTCCATCTATATGTAAGTATAATACCTTTTGATTATGTTTCTTATAGTCAAACAATATATCAAGTAACTTAAAAAGAATTTTTGTAAACGCAAGTATCAGAACTTTGATACGTGGATGCAACGGTGAACTGTGGTACTATATTAATACTAGAGGTTTGGATTTTAGCTAATGCTTAATTTATTAATTTTTTTTTTCGAGCTCTTACTGCTAGTTTTATCTATCTCCTATAAAAGTGTAAATAATTTAGGTTAGGTAATATTGCCGATCATATAGATATCTACCTTTAGCTTTATTGGCCGAACCTATTACTGTAAAGAAGCCATCTCAAGCCTATACCAAAACCTAAGATCCTTACTAATATTCTTAGAAACTAAAACACGAAAATGTTTAATCTAGGTTGTGCATGCACTGAACAGTAGAAGACTTTCTTTTTATCCTCACAGTTGCAGTATAGATCAAAATTACATAAATAATTCATAGTTTCTTAAGCAACTATGTATTTCCGGAACATTTCAAAGAGACTTCTTTTATTTAAGGGGACTAACTTGTATTCAAGAACTTAATTTCTAACGATTAAAACATACGATTACCGATTTTTCAGATTTTTCCAAGGTTAGAAATGACCCTTTTTTTCTTAACTCATCTGCTCTGCAATTTTCTGCGAGATCTCTTTAATCGGAAACCCCGAAAAGGAAAGATTGAATTGAAAACATATATTATTTAGAGACATGTTTCAGTCAACGTACAAACTAGATGTAATTTTAGCAGAACTGAAAACATAAATGTGCTACTGTTTAAAACTTTATCCGTTTAAAACTCAGCCATACATTCTCTTACAGCTATAACTTTTCCCAGGTAGACCTGCCTTGCATCAAATAATACCAAGTTTCATTTAGGGCCAAAGCTGTATACAAATACAGCCACTGAAAGATGTCACTGTATTGAGTTTTTATGGGATATAGACTGTTTAAGAGCTGCTTTATTTTATTTTGTAGAGTTCACATAAAAGGTGTCAACATGTTTCTGTTTCTTGAAGTACTGTCACTTTCTCAATATTTTTCATTGTTTAAACATTTTTGATAAATAAAAATAAATAAAATGTGTATATATATATATTATTATTATTATTATTATTTTACAGTAATATGTAATGTCCTTTCATTAACAGAAACTCAATTAAAAAAAACCTATCATTCAAGCACAAACATGTACCAGAAGACGTCATTTTTATTTTCAAAACTCAGCCAATAAGTAAGTGGGATATTATAGATTCATATTGTAGATTTCATATTTAACAAAATTATTTTTTATTGCAAATTAGAATTCACAGAACGGGAAACACTGAATAAATCAAAATCAAGGGTAACTTAAATATCTCGTAGGTAAATATATTTCAATATTAATCCTTAAAGCAGATATAGGGACCAAAATAGAAGTGCAAAAGAAGAATCAATCCTTAAAGCAGATATAGGTGCCAAAATAGAAGTGCAAAAGAAGAATCAATGAATGGGGCCTATCTATCGGTAGTAAACGTCTTATAAAAAAGAAATTCCAAATTTTTTATTAGTGTACATTTTTGAAAGTTTAAATAAATTACAATTTATACAGTGATATAAAAATATAAATATAAGCAAAGACATATTTTTTTTCTTGTAGTTAAGCTAAGACGATAAAAAAATTAATACTCGTAAGATTTTAAATATTATTATTATTAAGCAAGAGAGGGATTGTATATACAGCGCCTTAAGTAATCGATTGTTGATTGTATTTTTAATGAACGGGCAACTTTTGTTCCCTACAAGTCTGTTGGTGCTGAGTTTCGTATATTTACAGAGAATGTATTTATAGGTTTCAACGTCAAGTTTATAAAATTGGCAAATATTGGTATATGCAACGGCTCTTTATGTGTAAATGGTGCCTCAGCCTACACATTACTAACAGAAACTCAGTAAATGTTTTGATGTACTCTTTGCACAGGTATAAGAAGTCCATTTGAGTCTATTTTAGATGGGATGATGAATATCTTATCATATGTTTGGTCTTTAAATTTGATTCATTAGTTTTTAAATCAGTTTTTTCCTAGTACCATGGTATACAGACGGCTCTCTCACCAATAAGGGAGCTGGAGCTGGTGTTTATGGGCCAGGCAAAAAATACTGGGAAGCATTAGGAAACAATACAACCATCTTTCAACCGGAAATATACGCGATAGATAGATGCGCCAGTTTCAATCTTGAACGTAACTACCGGAACCGTAAAATTGCAATACTGACTGACAGCCAGGCAGCTATAATGGCACTCACATCTTACCAGGTAACATCCAAACTGCATTGACAAGCTGAACATACTCGGTGGGATCAATCAGGTGCACCTTTTATGGATTCCGGGACATACTGGTATCCAGGGTAATGAAATGGCAGACAAACTTGCAAGAAGAGGCGCGGTATCAAGAATGATAGGCCCAGAACCATTATGAAGGAGCTCTATCCATTATTATGAATGACGCAGAGAAAAAAGAGAGAGAACTCTATTGGTTAATGCTACCAAGACTCTCACAATATAAAATGCTTTTAGGGACTTACAACCTAAAACGCTTTAAAGATTGCATAGTACAATCAAAAACTAACATAAGAATTATTACGGGATTATTGGCCGGTCACTGCAGATTGAATAATCACCTATCGAAGTTAGGAATTCAATCCAACTCAGACTGCAGATACTGCAGGGAAGAGAGAGTAACGGCATACCATGTGCTTGGGGGGTACCCTGCACTGATGCATAAGCGAAAGAAACACCTAGGAGGGTATTTCATGGATAATAAGGATTCAAGACTGGGGAAGATAGGATCCATATTGTCTTTCATTAAAGAAATCGGACTTGGAGAAATACTCTAACCCGACAAAGGGGCACAATAGATCTTTTAGGTCGCAGTGCACGATCCCTTACTCAATAATAATAATAATAACAATAGTACCTGAATTGGTTTACCATAAGCCCTTTTGGCAATGTAATGCGTTCACTTTTTATTCCAGTTCTTTTTATAGAGATAAGCAGTTGTCCAACATATCTAAGACCACTAGGCTGCACTAGGTCCGTTTGCCTGCTATATTCATGAACCCAGAGTATCGATGGCAAGTAATTCTGTAAAAGTACAATTGGATGTTTACCCATTTGCAAGGTTTTCAAAAAAAAAACGTCACAGTAAGCTTACCCCAGTGCTATCGTAATTAAGTTTGGATCCAACTGTGTACCAGATTTGCAAACACTTCCTTACTTGATTTCGGTTTTCTGTCCAATTTTCTTAATAGACGTGTTAATCTTGGACTTTTTCATATTACTAAAATTTGTTGAAATGTCTTAAGAAATGGGCTATTAAGTGAAGACACTAAACAACAAGAGACGATTTATAAATACATTTTTAATTGAAAAGCAAAAAAGAAATGAATTTTTTTATTGCTTAGTTACTGGGTAACCGAAAATGTATCTATTAAACAAAGTATAAACTAACTTTTTTATATTCAGGTCATGTACTTTCATTTTGAAAAAAGGTGTGTGCAATATAAAGTAATATATATAAATATATATTTATTACAAAAAATATCTAAATATTATATTTTAAAAAATACCTGTAATGAATCTGCTAGTTTAAATAATATTTGACAACGAATTCAAAGAATGTGAATGGCTGTACTTATCTGACATGGACCCATTTTTTTTATTTTTTTAAGTCCTGCAACTATAAAATTATTGCTTCAGGTAAGGCGCTTCAAGTGGATTAAGCTCACCAAAAAAAAAAAAAACATACAAACGAACAAGATGACCAAGAGTTGATATTTAGACAACAGAAAATGCAGGAAGGTTTGCAGCTGGAAAATTTATATATTAAAGGGACGCTTTTTGAAGGCGACAAAATACATTTTGATTCAGATTTCATATTTTATTTAATAATTATAGGTAATTTGTTGATTAAATATAGGATGCGAAGTGCATGAACCACAAAGTATATTTTCCATATGTAGAGTATTATGAGATCCTGTTTTCTTATATTCAAAAATCTTACAATACAATACACGGGAAAAGCTGTCTTCTAATATTATAATATATAAAGTAGTGTTAAAATTTTTGACAAAATAATATTTTTATTTTGTTCTTCACTTTTTTCAAATAATACTTTCATATTAAAATAAAATTTAAATAATGGAGCTAAAGATTTCTTAACAAAAATAGAGAAACCGCCTTCTTATTTCTTTTTTTTAACTATACGATGCTTTTGTTTTTAAAACAATTTTGTCAGTTAAAATGTTCAAAGTTTTTCTTTTGTTAAATAAAGATAAAGTTTTACTTCTGCTACTTAAATTTCACACTAAATGCAAAACATCTATAAATACTCTCTCCGGGACAGGTGTAACTTGGATAAATTGAACAACATGACGTAACAGGATTCGTAACATCATCAATAAAAATTAGAGCAACAAACAGTACTGGGACAGTCCAAATATACTATTATTTACACGTAATAATAATCAATAAATATGCATTAATTTAATTCTTATTTTTAAAATTTTCTTTATTTTAATAATTCTTTAAATTGTTGTTTTATTTAATCAAAACATTTTTTTTAATATTTAAAAATATTTTTGTGACTTTCAGTAATGAAATTTATAAATTTTATTTATTTAAATATATAAATTAAAATTTATTTATTTAAAATATATAAATTAAAATTTATTTATTTAAAATATATAAATTAAAATTTATTTATTTAAAATATACAAATTAAAATTTATTTATTTAAAATATATAAATTAAAATTCCTTTTTTAATTTTAATATTTTTAATTACTATACTGTAATAGAATTTTATTTAAATCATAATTTTCAAATAATTAGAAATTATGAAAAATTAAATACATTTACATTAATATATCGGTCAAGGTTTCTATACTTCAAAATACTTTATTCCTCATGTATTTCTTAAGATTGCTTTCTACTATCTACAGACTCTTTTCTTGTGCACTCATTCAAAACAACAACTCGAATTTAATAGTATATGAAGTTATTTTTCACTGTGATTAATAATATCCTCTTCACAATCCAATTAGTGAGAATATGTGTTATTAACCGTATTATTAATCGAGAGCGGGTCTAGAAACTCCTAACGAAGGGGGTCAATGGAAGAAAGTGTCAAAGCAACTTTTTTTTTCAGTAACCCTCTTGTTTTTTAATAATTTGAACCTTATTAAACTTGGAACCATATTCATGTGCTTCACAACTGAACTATCGTTACACTTTATTTGCACTTGACTAAATTCAAACTAAGAACAGTGGATTAGACTCTGTTACGACAATTACTTCTAAAACATTCAAGACTCTGTTATGTCAATTAGATGTTTAGGCAAAGGTTCAAGGAATAGCACTGATTTTTTTATTCGGATAAAATTATACCAAGTGATGAGTGAGTTATGTCCAACAAAATATTGGTAGAAATTAAGATCTTTCTTGATATTTTTGTTTGTTAAATTAGTATTTTGTAAACACAAATGGATAAAAAAAATGTTTTTTACTAGATATGTTTACTAGATATCAGCTTCAAGTTAAGAAACTTATAGTTGATCAGTCGGGATCAACATAGACTCAATGTCCAAAATTTTGATCGATTAGCAAGTAAGTATACATCATGAGATGAATACTCGTTATCAGTAAAGTGCATATAACTAATCGATTCATCGAATCATCCTGACTTAGAGCGTATATTGTTAATATGTTTTTTGATATCATCGTACCTTCTTGTTAAGCAGTCCAAAACATAATTATCGCAATGCAGCAAAGTTTATAAAAAATACAACTTACTTTCAAAGTTTTTTGTTTTAACACAGTTAGACTTTTTCAGTTCAATCGAATAACTTTAGTCTAGTTTTTTGTGATGCAAATATCCTTTAACTAGAGACGAAGCCGCCACAGAATGTTGTGATGCAAATACCTAACCAATTACATATTTTAATATAGTTAATATTTTTATTTATAGAAATTTCTCACGTTTTTGAATAAAAAATTTTAAAATTGTATGCCTGATTTGAGTTGGCGCACTTCGTTTCTTCTGTTTTTTGTCGTCCTTAATGCGATGTTATAATTTATATGCAAATAGCTCGATTAATGCAGTTTGCTACTTCAAAAAGGACGAGCTGTGGTTACCTTTGCTTGACGTGAATTAATGGAAAATTATTGCTACAAAATGCTTAATTTCTGTTGATACTTGTTTATGTATTCCAGATTTTCCGTAACTTCTGTGGTCCAATGAATCGCATAAGAAAACTTTGATTACATTAAAATTTTAAATTAACTTCTGATAATTCTTAACAAAATATGTACTTATATATGGAGGTGAGAAAATCCACATATATATTTAAATAAGTTTCTGCCTTTAAATAAGTAGAAAAAAGAAAAGTTAAAGTAAATTATCCAACCAATAAAAGAATTGTTAAAATA